GTAGATGATTGTGTAGGTCCACGTGATTTCAGGTAGTCAATTTCATTTGAGTGGATTTATTATGCATGGCTGCCGGATAGTTGTTTTTATCCAGTAGGGCTCCTTTATTGAGGGTTATTCCATCTTCTAGTGAGGCGATTGTTTTCTTTGCAGTGAATTGCGACACATTGAAGCCATCGTCTTCCCAGCCACTGAGAACATCTGGAAGAGAAGGACAAAAAACCAGCAGTTTGGGCTTTGTCCCAGCTGAGTATTAAAGACCATTTATGAGAAAAGGTAGTTCGCGTGATCACGGTTCGGGGTTACCGTTTACAGTTGGTAGTGATGTACTCAGAGCAGAAGCTCTTCTTTATATGACTTTTCTTGTGATATGTACCTTGGGAAAATCCGATGCAACATCTCAATTACGCTTTACCTGAACGACCCCAGTGGGGTACTTTTCGTAGTCCAAACGAATTCCATAGCGTTGAAGTTCTAAAACTTAAATGAACTGAAAATTCCTCTCAGTTACCTTGCATTTTCCTATTTTTCTTCGCCATTCGATTGTGCATTCTTTCCGACAGTGGTTTTCATGTCGATGAATTTTCTATTCTTAACCTTCTATTTCACCTCTTTCTACGGGAAGCATATCTATTGGACACACACTCCAAGTGCTTTGCTCTTATATGTAAACAGGATTTGGTGCTTTTTCCTGTTTTATTGCAACCAAAGTTTTGATTGGACGTTCTTTTCTGGACTTATCGTTGCTTATGGTAATATTGAACCCCTTTTGGTTGTAACGCTCAAAATTATTTTGCTTGATCTGTTGAAGCGTGCAAACTTTTCCTATTGATCCAGAAGTATCTGAAAGGTAATTCAAGTCACTCATTTTCTTATTTACTTTTTATTACCGCAGACTATTTTCTGTGAATATTTATAACATTTTGGCTGGATGGTGAACCAGGCTCACTATCAGAAGTATGACTGCCTTATGTATTTGTGAATAATGCAAAATAGTACCGTAGATTATTTTTGGATCGACTTGGTTCTCGATAATTTGGGCTACGCGTTGCTCTGAGATTTGTTTATCACTATCCAGAACGAGCGAAGGGGCATTTGATTGAATGCATACAAACGAGGTCTTTTCCTTTCGCCTGAACCAGGACGTTCGCTTTTTGTTCGTTACAGAAGTCTCCTTTCAACAACACCGTGTCGCTGGCCCTAGTCTGTTCAGCTAAGATCTTTCGCAGTAGCTGATTCTCCTCTATTGTGTCTGATGAGCTCCTGCAGACACCGATGAGTGATAGCCGATGTTAGACAGTTTGCACAATCACCTCAACGGTTTATAAATTGGGGGATTTGTGGTGACGCCCTTCATGTTGGCTGTGGTAGACGGCCACAGGCACCGGTCCTGCCCCACCGGCCCGTCCATCCTGGAGATCGTTTCTGCTGGAAATATAGGTGGGAAGGCACGTTAATATTTTCCTCACCGGGTTGCAGCCACAATTCTGCGATTCCTTTGGAATGGAGATCAAAATCATTCGTCCCCTGATAAGCCCGGCTGCACAAATTCCAAAAAATTTTACACCTTCGAGCCAAATTAGGGTCATCGCGGATCAATACTTATCTCTCAGAGATAAATCAATAATAATGCGTCGTACTGCGATATCAACTCTCTCTGTCCGTCTGGTCTGTGGCCTATGAACGAATGAACATTGCTCACTGTGCATTTGATTGTTACATTCGTTTTCTAGCATTGATCAATGTTATTTTCAGTAACATATAAGCGGCAGAGTGAAACTTGTAAATCGACTCGTGACTTGTGAGTTGTGCTCATCATCATTATAAATCCAGTGCTACTGAAGCCGGGTCTTCTCGCTCATGTTACTTTTGGGGGGGCGGGCGGAGAGATTGATAGCCGACCGTGCGTTCTGTATTTCGCCTAGAAAGCTTCCGCACCCATAACTAGCATCCGTTCACGGACTTAGTGTTAGTCGGCTATCCTCGTGTTCCCGCGTGCTACTGTTGTTACTGTGCTACATCTTGTGTTCTTTGCGCTTGTGGCGTTCACCTCTGATGCATTGCTGTGCGACCTAATAGCAGGAGATAGATATAAGCGGTGCAAAACATAGCAAATTGGCGACATAACAATCATCACCATTGTAACGAACAAAACGCGATTGTACTAGTTTAACGAAAAGACCACTACTATAGCCGTTCAAATAAATAACTCTTAGATCGTTCTGATTGAAGCAAATTATCGAGAACCAAGTCGATCCAAAAATAATCTACGGTACTATTTTAGTTATGGTCAAAAATACATAAGGCATTCATACCTCTGATAGTGAGCCTGAATTACCATTCAGCCGAACTATGACACAATTGCAGAAAATATCTGTGGTAATAAAAACAAACAAGGAGACGAGTAATTCTAATTAACTTCCATATAACTCTAGCATTATTGGAAAATTCTGCGTGCTTCAACAGGTCAAACAAACTAATCCTAGGCGTTATAATCAAAACTGGTTGAATATAACTGAGAAAAACGGTACTCCAAAATATGGTGTTGAGCCAAAACTGAGATTATAATAAAACAAGAAACAGCACTAAGTCCCATTTACATATAAGCACAAAGCACTTAAAGCACATATCTGAATAATATGCTTCACTGTGAAAGTGAAATATAAGGTTCAAAGTAGAAAATTCACCAACCATGGAAACAACTGTCAGAAAGAATGGCAGTAGAATGCACAATAGGACAACGAAGAGAGAAAACGAAAGGCAGGGTACTCGAGAGGAATTTTAAATCGCATCTGATGTAACACCAACCACCAAAATTCCTCCGAGTGGACAATGTCAACTCAGATAGTCTCTTGTTCAGACTCTCCCTTCTTAATTTCGCTCCCGAAACATTGCTGTTCACAGGACCTACATCAGTACGCCGGCATACGCCTTAGCCTATCACCCGCTAGTCCGCTCCGTCTAATGGACACAGACAACGTAGTTCTCTTTTTATTTTTCCGCCAACTGTATGCACCACAATCGTCGTACGAGTCAATCTCCGTCTGCTTCGACTATCTGGATGATGCTCATGGGCCATTTACCAAGTGTCGTGGTATCAGATGCTACTAGTACGATGTCACCTGTTTTGAAATTGCAATGCTTTGAAAGCCACTTCTGTCTCACTTGCAAAGTTGGTGTGTACCCCTCCATCCGTCGACGTCAGAATTTATTCGCGAATTGATTCACTTGGCTCCACCTTCCAGAGTAATATTCCGTAATTGTGAAGCCTTCTAGGTTTGCATTATTTTCCGTCAACCCCAACAAACTGTTTGGAGACAATGTTTTTCTCTCTTGATCATCTGACAATCAAGGCACTAGCGGTCAGCCATTGAATACTACTGCGATTTCTACAAAACAATTTGACAACGTTTCCTCGTGTATTAATTACTCCTTTGTTAACACAAGCAGTAACCTGCGCAATGCGCGGATAATCCTGTACCATACACCTCCACTAAGACTTGAGGAAGGTGGGACGTGGTTAAAGAACCATTTTATTTCATGCCATGCGAGACGGTCATTAATCTTGTACCTGTCCCAATGTTTAATTGTGTCCAGTGTCCGTCTCTACTATGATATTGTCGAATGATAAGATCAGTCAAAGCATGTCGGCTGGGTAAGAAGCTTGAAATGGGGTGAGTAGTTTGTGAAACTAAGTAGCCCATCGAGACAAATCGATTCCTTTATTATACCTGGACAGAGCTTCCTCTAAGAATGCACCATGTCTCCGTTTTGTGCTTCTTAAAGTTTTGACTGTAATGTTAATTCACCTAATGTTTTGTTCTGCACCATTCTCAAGACCTTTTATCTCGCTGCGTCGATTTCTCCGAACGTGAGGTTAACTAGTCCCATGGTAATTTCATTTCTCGAAGAATACATAATACTAATGTAAGAGTTGAGCCTAATAATCCATGCAACTGACATTAAAAGCTTTGACTATTGAAATAATAACGCAGAAGCTGTTCCAGGCTTTTCGAAGAAAATGCTGTATTTATGCGTGCTACAATTTTCTTAATCTCCATACCATCCGATAGGGCCGATTTTATAGATGAAGCATGCCGAAAACAAATATATAAATATATGCATTCATAATGTATTATTATTCAATAAATTTATAATATCGAATATATTAAATAATATATATATATAAAGATATATAATATAAGTATATAACTCACAAAGCAATATCGGTAATTGTTCTGACTGGATGTGATGCAACTAGGAAACCGCGCAGTACTGGTGTATGACTGCTAACCGATTGGCAACGAACTTACCAAAACATGTCGAAGTATCTCTACAATCATTGAATCCGGCCAGTAACACATATCGCTGAACATTCGACAAAGCTCCTTTTACCAGTTCTCCTATCTCGATTCCAAGGATTCCCGTGGACAGTTCCTGTCGCGATATGGATACCGGTTCGATAGATGCCAGTCGAAACTTACTGAATAGCTTCGCATTGTGAGCCAGTTTTCTTGCTGGAACACACCACGTGTAAGCGATGGCCCCATAATCTGTTTCGGATGCAGCAAAAAACATGTTACTCAGTTCTCCCCGTTTCTCCCCATTCTTCGTTCTTTATAACTCTCCAGATTCTTCTTCAGATCTTAATCACGTCTAGACACCTAGCTTCCCCAACTGCTGGAATCTACTGCATTGAGGGGTTGATCCCAACCAACTTTAGATTGACACAATGTTTGTAACAATTGCTTTTCCGGGAGGCACCGAGGGGATACTGGGCCTTGCGAGTCCAACCAAGAACCGATGCTGGGACAATATGCCTCTTCTCGTCACTGACTTATCTAATATCTGGAACAAAAGCGTAAAAGCATCCTACTGTCCTACTGTACGCCCAACTGGAATCAGACTGAGGCAGTTGAGCCAGGTTGGTATTCGGGCTGTCTTCCGAGGACTCTGCAAGATCCGCCGAATTAGATGAGCGCTTTCTTCGTTTAAAACCACCCCGCTTGGGTTATTTCTTTTGCAAACAGTAAGGCCTCGTCACATGTCGTGAACGATGCATGACAGTCATTAACGTAAAAATTTTTCCTTTTTTCATTCGGCACCGCTCGTCTACATTCAGTACCGAATTCTAGCGCTGTCCTGTTCAAGGCAAAATTAGCACAAAACGGTGAAACAGTTACACCAAACGCGTGAGTTGTCATTTGGTATTAGTCGGGATTCTTTGATAGGTCACCCTGTGGCCATCAGAGAAACCTCAAAGCGTCTCTATCATTTTATGGCATTTTCACTTGCATAAACATCTCTTATATGTCAGCTGTAATAGCTACACGTTCTTTTCAGAATCGGAAAAGTATACCCACTAAATTCGCGGTGATGTCTGGACCTTGATAAAGCATGTCATTCAACGATTTCCCTTTGTGCTTTGCTGCGCAATCCAAAACCATACGCAGAGTTTCCGGCTTCTTCGGGTTTAGCACCGCATGATGGGGCAGGTACCAACACGGATGAAAGTGGCAATTTTACTGTCCCTCTGAAGCTGACACGGTATATCCTTTATCTGTAGTCATCTTTATCCTCTGGGCGTGACGGAACCGTGGAGCTTCGTCATTAATTAGGTGCAGCTTCAAATTATTCAACCTCGTGAGCGCCGACGTGTGGATTCCCATATCGGCATTGACACTCCTCATCCCTGGCAGAGGGCTCACGAAGTGCCCATCGACGAACACTGTACCCGCGTTTACAATAGCGATAGCCTCCGTATGATTTACGGAAATGCCTTGATCTGGTAACTGGGCGTCCGCAAACTCTGGATAGTACATTCGCATTACATGATACATTAGATTTGAGTCTTCCGCAACCATCCAGTTGACCGATTTCATTTCATACGAAGCGAAACTTGAAGGTCCGAAAATTACCCAAACTAATAGCGTCCGAACTGCATAAGGGTTCTTCCGACCGCTGAGTCTTCGGTTCAGTACTCAATGAGCCTCTGGTAGGTCACACCTAAACAAAACCTGAATTTCTCCATCAAAGTATTCTATCAGAGGGTCTCCCAAATGGGGCCATTTTTTCATTTTTTCAGAGATTTCTCTGATCGGCTTATGAAAGGATGACTCTGTTAAAACAACAGCTTGCTCTACAGGAGCTGCTTCCGTTTCCATTAGAGGCAGTACCTTAAAAGCACCGCTGGCAAATTTCCTTCAGTTGATCAACCCAGTCCAGTTATCTTCGAATGGTTTCTTTGTCGCTTTAGACAAAATCGACGTATTGTGCTCGCCTTTATAATCATTGTACCCTATCCAATATCTAGTAGAGCACACTCCTTAATCTCTTTCAGTCGGGCTTTTATTTTGGCCGGTTATAATCCCAGAATAACACTTTTAAAGTAGTCCAACCAGTGTGCCGTATCAGGGTGCAAAACTAGGGGAATTATTTAGACTGTGGTCTGTCCTAGCATGCAGACGGTCGGAAGTCTTCATTCCCGTCTATAAAGCCATAGTCAGACCGCACCTGCAGCATTGTGTACCGGCTTGGTCCCCCTTATTCAAGAGGGATGCTGCCTGCTTAAAGAAGGTTCATATATTGGCCACCAGAATTGTTGAAGACCAAAGAGATCCGGGACCACTGGGCGTCAGCCTCGAAATCAAGAGTCAATTCAAGATTTCAAGACAACATACAAGGAAACGTAAGAAAATCTAGGGCACATCTCGTTAAAAAGAAGAGCACTCCACCGAGACCTGATAGAAACCTTGAAATTCATGAAAAGGATCTCAGCGAAAGCCGCGGGTAGTCCCTTCACAATAGCTTCCCAACATGGCACCAGGGTACATGAGTTTGAAGTAACGTCTCCTACAACCGAGCGTGACACGCTTCAGAACGGGAATCCCAAGCTCGAAGCATAACCAAGTTACAGCTGGTTAAACCAGAAGACTTGTGGTTGTAGACATTTAGTAAGGTACCGTGGCACAGAGACAGTACCGGTACCGACTAACGAACGTTTGCATTAAAGCACAAATGCGAGCAAACCAACAAGCGCGATAACGAGCAAAACCGAGCGAAAGCGAAAAGTGAAAGTTCCCCTCGCGGTAGGATACAGCAGTTTTCAGTCGTGCAAAACAAACGTCAAATGGCGTTGGTAAGGAAGTAAAAATGCGAAAGTACATTCAGATCGCAGATCAAAAGTGATGTCTACAATTGTCCGGCTTTTACCGTACAATCGACCACGCTACGGTTTCAAGCTCATGAAACATAGATTCCGGCTAAATTTTCATAGGAAGGTTTTTGAAAGAAAATAGCTGGTATTTTTCTTGAAGTCTTGGAACCAGCCCCCTAAAGAAAATGGTCGATCTTCAAACATTGCGTACCCTAAAGTCCGCACTTGGTAAGAGAAGGGTGGAATTATTCACTCTTCTGGTAGTGTAGAGGAACGTAGTCGTGCAGCCTGTTTATGATGCCATTCCTGTTTCTCCTGATGCGTTAAGGAATGTTCACGTCTAACAATTCACACGCCAATTTGGTGAGATAAAATACATTTGTCCTTTTTATTTCTGTAGTGATGGGTGCCGACGTAGTGAGCATACCAGTAAAGGAACTCTGAACGCTCGATTTGCCGTGGCCATATTCAGTCCTGTGCAAACTGACGTTTCACGCGTCGATGTTCAGTCCACTGCACTCCAAAAGCGCAGAGCACACTCGCGGTAGAAAAAATCTTGAGATGCTGAAGTAAATAGTTCAAAATATCTTTTGGTATTTTACTTGTATCTTACTAAAAAGCTTTTCGATCTGGAGCACGTAGAAAATTCAAACCATCGGCTAACGTAGCGAAATGGCATATGGTGTACGGAAGTGAATTTTACGGGAGATCAGAAAATTGCTAACTGGTCTTTATTTTGATTAGTTCGGCTTGGGATTTCATCGATAATTTTTGTTTGTTTTTCTAACCTGACGTGACCCGAAATGTAAAACTGTTGACCTTGACAGTTTTTTGATTGCTGTATTTGTTTTGCGTGCCATCGATATGGCGTTAATAGTAGGGTCTTTAGATGGGGCTGATATTGGGGTGATCGTAGGTTATTTCGCTGTCGTTATTGGAGTAGGTGTTTGGGTAAGTTACCTAAATTTTTGGTTTCCTCATTTTCTTAGTCGTCGTGTTGTAATCGCGGAAGTGTCGGGGGGTATTTTCTTGCCGGAAGATCGATGAATTGGGCGCTGGTAGGTATTGCGGTTCACCCATAATAGACTATAAGGTTGGAGCTTCTCTTTTTGCCAGTAACATTGGATCTGGTCATTTCATTGGTTTAGCAGGCGCTGGAGCGGCTTCTGGAATAGCTGTTGGTGTGTTCGAATTGAGCGTGAGTCGCACCTTTATAACTAACTTTTTCCAAGGCGGTCTTTACTTTGGTGCTACTTGCCTGGCTCTTTGTTCCGGTTTATACGGCTACTGGGGTAATGAATCTTGTTCATCACAAACGAGACGTATACGTGCTAATTGTTAAATAGGTGTACACAATGCCGGAATACTTGAAGAAGCGATTTGGCGGGGTCAGATTACAAACTTACTTGGCTTGTATGGCTCTTCTATTATATGTGTTTACCAAAATTTCGGTAAGTTTAATAACATTCACTAACGTGTCATTGTTCTCTTTGAGAATGAGTGTATTTATCACAAACTCATCCTTTATAATTTTCATTGTCGCAAAAAGTAAAAGAAGTGAACCCGAAAGCATAAGGACATGTGTTCTTTTGCGCCGTTCAGTATTTTACTTACTTCCAGTGGGACTATAAAAGGAGTTTGGTGGCTCGTCCAATACTGGCAAAAGAATATTAGTATATAGACTGGTGATGTTCACGAAATATGTACAAAAAGTAACGGACAAAGGAACAAGCCAAAGTAGAGCCACCAATATTACTAAATCCAATTCACCGTTGCGTGCTCTTTATCGAGAAGAAAGAAGCGTTCAAACGAGTACATGTGCAGAAAGTAAAATTCAACGTGCCTTGACCTACTGGGTGATCTTGAACCGGTAAAACATCGAGTTTTAATGAGGGAAAGGTACACTTGAAGGGTTCGATGCTAGCCATAAAGAGCCAAACATTTTCCATGTGATTCATGATTTATCGGCAACAGCCATGCTTTGGGAGGATTTATTCCAGCAAGAATGTGATATAGATACAAGCTTACTACCATCAAATTTCACTGGCGTCTGCTTTGTTATGAGCCAAAAACATACAGGTAAAAACAACCAGCCCCACTTGAGAGTGACTACACAAGTTTATTGAAATGAGCAAAGAATTTTAACTGGGCCTCTCTCAATTACCCAAATTTGTTTGGGCAGTTATCTATTCGATAGACGTAAAAGTTATAGTGAACAAATAAAGATGATTAATAGAAATGAAACTCCCTAGTCGGGTGTCCTATTCATTTCGTGATTTAATGCGAACAGTGAGAAATATGTTAATGAAATTGGTAAGTACTATTCGTACTATCCGTAGAGCTGGCGCCTTTATTCTCGTGGATCAATAAATTCACTACTTTAATATTTCTTTTTGTAGCGTTCGGCTAAAATTCCTTCCATATTCAACCCAGAAATAAAGCAATATTCAACATAGACCTCATTTTTATTTTTACAGACACTAAGTGTTTAGAGTAAACCTCAACTCTAATTATCGGTATTATCACTGGGGCAGATGTTATCAGTGTTGATAACAACACTTTGATGTTAGTAACAGCTTTAGAAAACTAAAACAAATGGACACAGTAAATCATTTTATTTTGTTAACGCCAGCTTTATACTCTCTTGTACTTGTCACTATATTTCTACACACAAAAACATCATGACGTGTACCATGAAACAAACACCAAACCTCATTATTTTTCATCTTTTTGATTTTTGCAATAGCTTTGTCTACAGCGTTACAATTACTACCCTCATTCTTCGCTTTTCCTGATTGTTCTCTATTTAACATCATAAATTTTGTTTGTTTTTCCTAATTCATAACATTATGTACCATTTAGGGCAAATCGCACAGATAGATAGAGGAGAGTAAGCTACATTCGCAATAATTGTAATCATTCAGTTATCTGTATCGATGAAGTCAATATATAGATAATTCAGTAAATAATATTAAATTATTCTTTAAATAAATCTAACGTCGTATCAAATAATTTTGTAGCTCAACATCTTAGGGGCAAACTGCATGTGCAATAAAGAAGTAACATGCAATTTTTTGTAGCTAAAAGGTTTTGAATATTGCAGCCAGGTATAGCACGTATGAACATTAAGTACCGACATGAATTTTGGCCTGCTTTCTTATGACATACAAGAAAGCGAAAGTATACTGATTGATTAAATCTTTTTTATTATGATTACTAGTATAAATAACGTCTTATACAAAATTAAATTACCGCATTCAAGGGTAAATTATATTTTCAAGTTTCATTTATTTGCATATATTTGTATTTGTATATATTAAACAACAACTCGTTGTTTAAATGGGATCGTTTTGCAAACGATAAAAAACAATTTTATTTACATTTATTCTTTTTAAGCAAAATAAACTAAGGTTACATTATTTTTTCATAGAAACCCAACATTTAAAATCACAACAAAAGACTATATTAGGTGGCACTACAAAGTAGTAACTAATAGAGCCTATTTCAGATAGTGTGATTTAGTATTGTTCAGTCCTTATCTGATGAATGTTTACTTTCATATGCATTGCTTACTTTAGCCAAAACACAATGTTTGCATTTGTTCAGCAATTGAAATAACCCGTAAATGATGCATGAAAATGCGTCATGTTATTATTCAAATCATATCAAATTCAATCTATTATGCAGACAATTACATATAGTGCAGGCCACTAATTCAATTCTGAGTTAAGCAATAATTTTTCTAGTGGATACCCTTTGTCCTAATAATGCAAAACTACCCACTGCTATCCTAGTTTTACATTTTTGAATGTACCTTTTATTATTTTGTGAATAAACTTAATTTGCCAGAATGAATTCTTTTGAATAATGCATAACATACACAAATATCAAAAGTTGTTTTAAATCTTGTACCCTGATTCTTATATAACAAAGCAGAAACGTTGGAGTTTATTTCATATTCCATTTTACCTGTTCGCCGAGCTTGGCAATTTGTTTGCAAACGTTTCATCACCAGCCGAGGTGACATCATCAGTGCTTGTGAAGTGGCCACTTCAAATTACCAAGCTCGGCGAACAAGTGAAATGGAATTCAGTTAACCCGAGCTACGAGAACCAATTTTCAATACGTATTTCATATTATTGGAAATGAGAAGGTGCAACCATTTATATACTGCTCCAGAAAATTGGCTTCTTCTGATCGATACTTTGAGAAAATTTGGTGCTTATTTTGAGTAACAAATTAAACGTTTTTTACATCCGAAATCTGTTTCTCAGCTCTCATATATTCAACAAAAGAGAGTAAAAATATAGAAAAATGGATAGTCATACGACTTCTGGTTAGCTAATAACCTATTAGCTATTTAATTTACTTACCACAATTTTCGGTTTCTCATAAGTAATTAAACCTCATAAGCCATGATTCTTCACCGGTAATACACGAAACATCTTAAGTGTATAGGACCTGAACTTACATTTCACAGAGAATCGAACTGGTAACCGTCCGATGCAGAGTTAAAGTCCTACCCCTTGAGCGTGTGCCTTTATAAGTTCAGTTAGAACATTTTTTATAAATTTTCTGTAAAACCACGGATACCCAGTTTTTCATATAACTGTTGTTCTTTATCAACAGTTTTACAAAATCACAGTGCCAAGCAAATATTATACAATTTATGCAAATCAGAAATCCTCACATAAACAGTAATCTCACAAGAAGACAGTTTTTAATATCTTTTTCTTTTATGTCACTACAGAAATTCTAAAAGAAAATATCTGATTACGCTGTTTGATGTTTTGAGTTTAATTTTTGTTTGAGCCCATATGATTTATATGGTAATCAGGCCCTGTTTAGGATTTTGGTGTGAATATCACTCCTTTAGAATATACGTTTTACCTGTATAAACATGACGTTTTATTTTTAAACTAATTTATTAGAATGATTAAAAAAAACCAGACAGTCAATTCATAATAATCATTTGTTTACTGTTTTGAACAGTGCAACTGAAAAGTCGTTACATCAGTGTTGATATCTGAAAATTCATTATTACCATTATTCATTACCACACTTTTTGGAAGATTATTACACATGTACATATACCATTAGTTTGCTAAAAGGTATGGTGTCAACGCGACAACAATAACAACAAAAGATAGTTATGAGCATGAATGAGTTCTACGTAGAAAACCAATTATATAACAAAGGAGTAAGAACAAATTTGAGGTATTTTTGGTTCATCTCACACTTTATGATGCAACCTACGGTGTAAAAAAAGCTTTTATGAGTACGAATTGGTCATTTAAAATTTTTATTTGTTTGAAATGAACTAAATTTATATTCATTCAACCATGTGATACATGCAGTTATTGAATCAAGTTTTATTAGTGTATAACCTTTGCATAAAATCTGGTTCTCAAAATTGTCGGGCTTTAGAAATTTTTTGTTAGTTCTGTTATTATTATTTATATTACAACGTAAACAGTGGTTTTTATCAGAAAATTCAAATATGTTACCACAACTTTAAAGAGTAAATGTGAGTGTATCAGAAAAATCCCAGAAAACCCGAAGAATTTCTACCTGGGAAGTTATGCTCTAGCATTCAGCGTAGTATTATTGTCTTTTGACTAAACCCATCACTAAGTTGTCGCTCAGTAAAGACTTACACGAAGACTCAGTAACGTGTTATTTCATAAGCAGTGCATTGAAAGATGCTGAACAAATTATTGGTCCATCAACAAATAGACACGACTTTAAGGAAGTCTTTGAAATAGTGATTTATTTTGTGAAAAAGGCGTGCAAAACGTTTCATTCCGTTGTTTTGTATCCTCTCTATTGACAAAAGGAGAATCTTTATTTCAAATGGTATATAATTTATAGCAATAAACGTGTCGTCGTAAACATGTACGGAATATGAATATATCACTAGTTTTTAACAATCACATTGTAAACTGTAAACTTTGGCCACATATTCAAGCATATAACCCGTATCCTTTTGTGCAGTTTTAAACTGTCATTTGAAATAGGTTGTTGGGTATGATTATCGCTAGTATTAGATTTTTTCAAGGAGAAGTTTTGAAAGGTTAGTGCTTTTGTGGACTATCATCAATAGGAACATTATTAAAGTGCCACAATAACTTGAAAATGAAATGGAGTTTGCCTTCAAGACAGTTTTATGAGATGAAAAATATTAGGACGAGACAGGCAACATTTACAACATTTTCATTCAGGATAGTTATCAAGATTAGAGTTTTCAGGATCCAGTTGCTCATACTGAAACGGAATAAAACGTTTCTCCCTAAATGGAAGATCTTCCAACTTATTCAGTGCAGATCGATTTCTGATGAGAGATATTACAGTGGGATTCATTCTTTGCATGACTATACTTGATAGTACTCTTTGAAATTCCATTCAACCTAGGATTCTGTTAAACATATTTTTATCTGTTGTGTCACTAATACATAGGTTCTCATTTTGAGAAGCTTGTCGTATTGAATAGATCTAGAATGGCGTGAAGCTATGTGTGATCTCTTTCGAGAGTGGTAAAGGTCATATCCAGTACTGGGGCTACCGAAAGAGAAAAGGAAACATAGATATGCACGATTTCTCAGAAGGATATGTAAACCTCAGTAAATAAAAATGTTCATTACCACACTAAAAACAAAGCCCGATAGGCAAAACAAGCTGCTTTTCGATAAATTCATTAACTGGTCATTACAATTATACATATATCTTAACATACGTTCTGTACCCAGTTTGTTGCGATCAAAACCCCGTCGACGAACCCAAATAATCCTATACAACTGTAATGGTCAGTGGATGAATTTATTGAAAAGAAGCTTTTTTACCTACCTGAATTTGTTTTCAATATGCAAACCTGTTTTAAAATATTTTTATGATCATTATGGTTAACTTTCTGTACCGTCTGTTTTAGGCTGATTTGTATGCCGGTGCGATATTTATCGATCAGGCCTTAAACCTGAACTTGTATCTTGCTATTGTCATGCTTCTGATTATTTCTGGCTTGTTCACGATTCTCGGTAAGTGATTACATTTTCTGTTTCGGTTAGTTTTCTTTTCTATTTAAAATTTTTGCCGTGGGACTTTTTGTGAGATGTTACTAAATAGTATTTGCTGATTCTAATCTGTTGAAAGCCCTTTTATCGCATCTTAGTAGTATCACTCTATATTTTTACAGGCTCATGAAATTGATTCTCTGAACAGAAGAGCAATTAGCTTATATTAATTGTTGCGTTGTTTGACTTTGATAATGAATACTGATTAACGAAACAGTCCCGCAGAGCGCATTTCAAACAAAACAATGGAGTGGCGAATGTGCTCATTCTCAGAGATTCGCATTATTGTCATTACATATATTTCACTACTTTGGAATAAAGTTTCATTCGAAAAATCAAACCACAGATTACCAGAAACGATTTCATCGTGAGGAAATCGGATTCACCACGATCACATTTGTTTTTCCATTCATCCGATCATCGAGATGACTCGTGAAACGATGTGTGTGGGGTGGGCCAGGGAAGCTTTATCGCTTACACAAATTGTTTTTGGGCACACAGAGGGGGTTGTGCAGACGAAGGCCCCCAGCTTCTGCTGTAGCCGGTACCCGACAGCGAACCCTCTTCGAAAATCGCCCACAAACTTTGTAAAGGGGTCGAAAAGCCTGGGGCACGTCCACGGTGTGATTTCTTTCAGCTAGTGATTTATACTGAGATGTATTGGCATGAATACGAATCTGTGAAAACGAGCTTGTTCGCCACTTTGTTATTTTGTTTGAAATACTCATTATATATCCTTTCGAAATTTCTATGTAGTATATCAGCAAACTTCACTGAAATTAGTTCAAAAGGAGTGGACAGCTCTACAAACTTCGCTACACTTAAGAGATTTCGGCCACAGTAAAGATTAAAGTTTCATTCCCTTATCAGGTGGTTTAACTGCCGTGATCTGGACTGATGCCATTCAAACCGTCCTTATGGTAGTTGGCGCCGTGTACTTGATGATAAGCGGTGAGTATTTTTTCCTTTTGGTAAGCCATGTCGTTAGTCGTGTGATAAAGCTTCAATATTTGAAAACGAAGAGTTTATCGAATCACTACTGAATAGGGGTAATGGGAGTAGCAAAGCTTAATCATTTGAACTAACCCTCCACGAATAAAGCTATAATCCAATACAAGGATAACACGTTCCAATAGTGTTTCAACAACAGTCTATTTATTCGATATTAAATTGGGTTTGTAAGAAATAACAGCAGTGAGCAGTGCAAATGCAAACGGTTCGACAGTGCATTCGACGATTTTTCTTGAATTTTGGCAGGGAATAATGTACATCAAAAAGTTACTTACCACGTCTGTACAACATGAAACCCAGTCGTAGTTTATACATACTTTGTTTTTTTGTTGGAATTCGTAAGTAAATCCACGAAACTTTATCTTGCTCAAAACGAAGCAACCTTCAATGCGATAGAATATAAATGGTTTAAGGCAGAACCTCAATAATGAGAAATGATAAATCTCACTGTGAAGGCGATCAGTATTACCAGAGAAAACACTTTAAATGATACCATTTTTCTATATTTGCAAACGTTTCGTGTTTGAAACTTGTATACCTGGTGTGCATCCTGTGCAAGAACTTGAAATAGTTGTGATACTTCCAACAAATTGTTTTGAATTTCCTAGTACAGTAATGATCCAGGTGATAACGAAGATGATGGCCAGCAAATCTTGGTATTGGTGGTGATTAGCGTGGTATAGCAATGTATTAGCTCATGCTAACTGGCATATTGATGCTGAAATATCAGGCACTAGGTTTTGTCCGATCATATTAGGTTAAATAATGTCGTGTTGATAGCAGCAAGTAGATGGTTAGGAGAGAGTGAGATGGAAGGTGTTCGATTAGTCTGATGGAGGTTGTTTTACTTAGTTCCCTTTTAGCTTATGGTCTTAACTTGATGTATCACTCCAATTTTACGTTAAGTTGTCCCCAATCGGTTTCCAATTTTCGTTTAGTTTTATACGAAACGAGAAAAATGTGTCTGGATGAAGCGGTGAAGCATAAATTGCTACCCAATTCAATGAAACTAAAAAACGAAATGAAACTTATCAACAAAAACCACGGGACCGGAGATACATCATCATGTCGATACACCCGCACACATGTGTTACATTCTTTTGAATAGGTTGATTGTTGGAAGAGCGAACGTTTACCTGAAAACTGGGCACATTCGCATACAAGCACCAAAAACGTGGAGCTCAATTTACAAATGACCCAGTTGAGCTAAAAGTCGCATTCCTGAAGTGACATTTTGAGCACAAGATATGATATTGCTAGACTTTAGCACGCAACCCATTCAGTCCCCTTATGAGCATGGCCACAGGAAGTCTGTTGTTTCGGGGTCCATACTCATTAAGTAGGTGTGTCCATCGGACTAAAGGCTTGGATCAATCGATCAGGTATGTTGTCGTATTCTAACAAGCGCCAAATTTTCAAGATAAATGAGTGGGCAGGCGGTCTGTCACGTTTATCTCATTCTGTTGGAGTGAATTGAACCGAATTTTGCAACACGCATAGGTCACTTGTTCCGTATACACGCCTCTCACATTCCTCAACAGATTGCAGACTGGAGAACACAAATGTTTTTTGTGGTCAGTGGAAACCGGAAATGTTTAGGTACAGCCTATAACGTTTTTGTCACGTGAAAAGGTCAATAGTGAATCGTTCTTGATGCATGCGCAATCCCGTTTAAAAAAGGGATAAGCATGCATACCTGACATATTTTTGTCACTTGTAACAAATAGTTGTGGACTGATCATGTAACACAATAAGATTTAGAGATTTCAAACATTTCGTATCTTTATGATTTTTCTGAGTAGTCAGAATAACTTGATGGCTATTATCAATTATAGTGGTTAACATAAGGCCCTGTGAATAGAAAAATGAAAAACAACCATCTTCATTTTGGTCGTCACAATTTATCTGACTTTAAAATTATTTATTTGGCAGATAAGTTATATCAGACTTTGCAAGCCCCCGTTCATTAATGCATTAGTACGAGGTTTTCATGTGCAAAATTAATATTATTAAAGGTGGGCAACTTTACATAAACACCAACTGAGCGCATTTAGAGAGAAACAAATTCAATTCCGTGTACTTTAACTGCATCCAATCTGAACACTGTCACTAAAAACTGCAAAGCAATGAGAAAGTATATCGACAATGACAACACGGTGGAATATGCTTGCGAGTAGATATGTTTTTAATGGATTCAGGAGAACCCATCTCCGTCCGAACTTTTGCTTTGTCAAGCTAGCCGCCATCAATCACATTTACAAATAACAGTGGTTGCGCAACACTATCGGTTGACTGGATGATTTGTCCTTCATTCAAGGACCGCTGTATTTTATTATTCTTGAAACTAACCTAAATTTCATCTAATCAATATTCACGGAGGTGTAATAAAAAGAAAAGTGCATCCTCTGATCCGTTTGTATTGAAAGAGTTGCATGGAAAACCGATATGCCTCAAAAGTAAAACACCTAATTTGTTTTAACGATACTCGGCAATACTATGGGAAAGGCCATCGGATACCAGCACTGAAAACATGGATTTACCGGAAGTCTATGGTCGTTTGAAACGTAGCGAAAGTGCAGAACCAGAGAGAGAGAGAGAGAGAGAGAGAGAGAGAGAGTAATGGTCTGTTCGCGAATACCATCTCTTGGAAAGTGGGTCTTTCATAGCAACAGTATAATGAGACTCGATTGCGCTTGAACAGTGGTTGTATTATTCTAACATGTGTGAAAACGTTTACGGTCATTTAGTGTATAAAATCTCAAATCAAAATAAGCGATACACTTTAAGTCTTTCTCATTTATGAGCGACGGGTTTCTGACTTCATTTGAGGGCACCGTAATTCATTGAAAGGAAACCGATGGCTACTGCCACAATCTAGGCACCACAGGCGGGCATGTTTCCATTCAGTAGAGCATTAATCAAGTTAAGTTGTCAGAAACAAACTTACTGCGTAATTGGAGGTACTTATACAGCTTTTCGGATACAGGACCATTCGAGGATAGGAAATTCAATGATTGGAAAGTGAATAATTGTTCAATGTTAATATATGTCACGCGTGTCAATAAAGGCCCTGGAAGGACTCTACAGTTTTTTCATGTTTGCGACAAATCATCGGCATTGCATGCCGACCCCAGCTTGTGACTAAACAGAACCGGACTTGACTGTGAGACATGTACGGTCTGCTTCGGTCAGGCTCCTGGTAACACAACAGCCTCCAATGTTTTTCAGTGATATGTATAACGCACTGACATTTCCCAGTGAATCGTTTTCTCTACAAAATGAGCTACGAAATGTTTTCGAAATCATTTTTAATTGTGAAGCCGTCAGTACTATAAGGATATTTCACGTTGCCATGCTACACATTTCTAATCTAAACATCATAACAGAGCAGACCACATAAGATGATTCCAGTTCATTCCACATTTTGATCAACCCACATCTCCATGACAGCTTTTCTTCATGTCGGTGGCTTCCATAACATGGTCACTGCTTACTTCAATGCGATTCCGAACACAACTCGACTGTATCGGCAAAGAGATCCGATAATCGGTCTTAACAATGTCACTCTGCCGAACGGGAGTGGGGATAATTATGTGATGTGTGGTGTACCAACAGAGGACGCATTTCATATGTTTCGTGAAGTCGAAGATCCCGATCTGCCTTGGACCGGTGTGATTTTTGGCCTTACCATCAGTAATATATGGTACTGGTGCACGGATCAAGTTAGTTCCGTGATTCATAAAAGAATTTCAACATCTATTTTTGCCCGTCCAAGTTGTGAAAATCAATGTCACTAGTCTCCTATCCATATTAGTTGTCTAACACTAAGTTTCTTTCTTCTTTTTCTTTTAAATTTATCTCCTTTTATTTAATATACATTGATAAGATTATCAGGAAGGGGAAAATTACCCATCAAAGGGTTGCCATAAACCACTGAACGCGGAAAGTTAGGTGGTGATGGTAGTGGTGGTGGTTGGATTTAAACACACATCCTCCGGGGGGATAATTTGGTGAAGTTATTACCGGGCCACCTCCGCCCGAGTTACCAAACTCGACTTAATTCCATGTGTTCCTGGATCGGTTTGACAAAAATCACAGTCATTAGGGTCAATTCATTAGGAATCTTGTGCGGGTGTCACTGTGTAAAAATTCATTCACTTGATTCCTAAATCCCGGGTTTGTTATTGAGGTTGAGTGTGAGTAATGACTGACCAAAAGCATATTTGTTGAAACTCAATGAGCAGTACGAGTGTTTTATGTTTCAAAGAGGAACTCAAATCACAAACCGTTGGATTCGGAGCTACCGGTTTGGTGAAAACCGTTTAACGAATGGCGAAATGCAGGTTCCCGGGTCAAAAATTATTTATCATACTGAATACACACTGATGAAACAACTGATCTCATTTTGTCCGTCTGTCATATTCATCTTTAGTTGCTTTTCTTATATAACATTGTTACAGTTACATTTTGTGCCGTTTTTAGCATTATTTACTCACCTCTGGAAAATACAATTGAAATGTAAATCGGGAAAAAACTTATATATTATCTTGTCCCGGGTAAACTTTAGTCATCCTGCAGCTAACACCGGTTATGACGTTGCTGGTCAAACGGTTATCACTAGTCACGGTGCCTAAAATGGGACTGTTGTACAGTGCCTCATCTTTCATCAGCATTAACTTATGATCAAAGCACCTTTAGCATTGAAAATTAACCGCAACATTCGGGTCATCCAAAATATCATTTGTTTAAACGATGCCATTTGATCGTTTGAATATCCCTCTCAGTAGACATATGTTCGGTTGGTATGATGCTCCATGCGTCTTATTATTCTATTCTTTTTACTTTTTCAGGTGATTGTACAAAGGACGTTATCCGCGAAGAATTTGACTCATGCCAAGGGCGGTTGTCTGCTGGCCGGTATTCTCAAACTGCTCCCCTTGTGGCTACTCATCTTTCCGGGAATGATTGCACGTATTCTGTTCGTGGGTCAGTTTTTCATCGAGATAGTGTTTTCACATGTATATATCATTCCTCCGAGAACACTGAAAACATACGTGTACTTAACACAGTATGCGGTTTTCCAAGGCGACCAAATGCTATAAATGTTCTGGTTTTGAAACTAATCAAACAATGATTGCGATGGATAAACTGTTTTTTGATTCACACTGTGATGCGCAAAAATGTAAACACTTCGGATTTCTAATTCTATCAGTACCTACTTAATTACCACCTTAGGGGGCAATTCGCCAACATTGTCTTTCATTTGTTAACGGCAATAGTCTCTTTGGTGCTTGTTAGTGGTTGAATCTGTTGTATGCACAGCTTTACGAATGCTGCTACACAATCCGGATGATTATTGACAAGAACATATCATCGTTGTATATGTATTATTCGAGGATGAGGTTGGAGCAGCCTCAAGCTACACCACATTATCCACTATGATATCAACAAAATGGTCTGTCGGTCCGGACTGCCTGCACAGCAACATAATATTGAGTTTGCTCGTAACGATTTTTAACATTATAAAATTATTTTCTGTGTTGCATCTGCCTTTCCCAAGAGAGCCACTTGATCGTTGAGGGTCAAACATCTCAGCTGTTTGAATGGAACTTCAATAAATAAGTTAGTTTGAAGATTTATGCTCTGCACGTACCGAAAATAAGGCGATCTACTGCTGTTTCCATACACAGGGTACTATCATATCTTAAGTAGCACTTATTTTTAACACAATATACTGCTTTCTCTCAAGATATCAATATACTACTCAGGGTAACTTTTATGTAATTAAAACAATCCTGATTTAGATTGATAATGGTCACTTGGATAACATTCGTACTGTCTTTGGGTACTGGTATTTCAATTTTAAGGTCATATTCGTTTTCTTGTTTGCCAATGTGGTACATTTGTGCATTCAACTATGTCCCCTTTGAATTCTTATTGCTTCTGAATGAAGCCTAGTAAAGCAACAATTAGTCACTGTTAGTTACAGTTGATATTAAAATACTTCTCTTTCATCTGTCACTTTGGTGTTGGTAATTTTAATGCCGTGGTTTGGTTTCTCCTTTCGACTCAAATCCATTTACAGTTTCTTGATACTTGTAGTATAGAAAAGTTCTATCTCAGAAAACAAAAATAAGCTTTTAATGTCAATTCAATATGATGCAGTTTGTTTCCAAGCCAATTCCATTACCTCACGACTGAGGCCTAACTTCGGAAAAATATACTTCTGAATTCTGTTTTGCAGTTACTAACATGCAGAAAGAACAAGGGAAAAATATTATCAAGGGAGAGAAAAACATACAAAATGTTCCTTTCGTTTGTAGAAGAGAATGTTCTTATTCAGCTGGTTGCAACTTTTACAGCCTTGGGTTTGATATTTTCCCCTTGCCTTTAGACAGCGTTTTTAATTGATGCAACATAGTTAATCATCAAGAGGTGTTATAAACGCGATTGTTATCCTAACAGTTTGATTTTGAATAGCGCTTGTATCATGGGTCACCAATCCTAGTTACCTAATACAGATAGCTTGTCATCCACTCTGAAGTTCATAAATCAGATCCGCGTGTGCATACCAAGGCGGGTGTAATTGAACTGCTGCTATAATTATCCTGGTTGTCCGGTTTGATTTAATCGGGTTGTAGCTTCAATCGGCAGCTGACTTGAATTGTCGTTCGAACAGGTTATTAATATCCTCTCCATATGAATGGAATAAAACGGTTTCTTGTTGAACAATCGGCCCGCCCGGGAAGTGTGCGGTGGTGAGTGCTTTTGCGATTAGTTCATGAAGTTGATAAACAAGTTATATACTTACTGAACAGGGGAACTAAACTTGATATTTCTCTGAACAAATTACTCTGAAAGTGTCATGAGACTCGTTCCAAAATGGGGATACTCTCACACACATGTGCATATGAGCGAACAAGTCACATCTGTACATGATTCGAATCAGCCAATGCACAGACGAAATGCTATTTGGTCAAGTGAACAACGAGACTGTTCGAATACATACCAAAACGGCACAGACTAGACAACAAGTACCGAATATCATAACATCTATTTTTGTGCTTTATTCTAAAACGCACTTGTGCAATATATATATATACATGCTGCTTACTATTTTCAAAAATTGATTAATTGAATTATTGAACTATATGTATATAATTTTTAGGCGCATATATTTTCCAATAAATTACCATGAGATATTATAATTCACCATTATACTTACTTTGCAATGTATGGAAAAAGAGATACTACTCAGAGTACTCGGATTGAGCAGAATAAGCATCCTCATGAAACAGTATTTATTGTTTAGAAAGAATAAATGTCTGTGCTTCTCTGTACCAAATGGTTCCTAATTTCGACCAGTAACTTTCGAACCACCACAATTTCTATCGAGACGACCAAGGTTGTGCCAATTCAAACCGCGAAGCAGGAGAACTGAGAACAGTGGAAAATGGAGTTCGAAATAAATGTTTTATGCCAGTGTTATAATTCCAGAATGTGGTGCTGGTCGAGGACAGCTGTTTATCGAGGATTTCAGATGGGATATTAGCAATTTGCCATACATAACACAAAACATCTCATCAGAAACGTACCATTACCGTTCCTGGCGGCACTCCGGGTAATGCACAGGACAGTTGATAGTTTTTCTTTCAAACATATCACCTTGTCCACGATGGTCATGTTATATTTTTGATCATTGAAAGAACTCCCCAACTATGTTACCTACTACTCACAAGTGAGTAGTATCTCACAACACCAGTAGCTATTGATGTATGGGTACGATACTGGAAGCTGAAAGATATTTCCCTTTTGAGAAGCACATTTCGCGAGTTCGATCAATACTTGATTATTTGCGTATACTAACCGATGATTGTTTCAAATTCATTTACACAACCAGCTGTATTCGAAGTCTCCTCACTGCAGCGAATCTGATGTTGCCTATTTTCCACAGTTATCAGTGTCTATTTAACAGCACAGACAGGTCGACTTCCACCTATGAACTTCATCACAAATTTGTCGATTTGCTCTTGCCGTTAAAAAATAACGTTTATTATTTCTCGGTTATATACTATCATACAATGAACCATTCTTGTAGCATCGGAAGCATCAGTTACTATCTTCGTGACTAAATTTGTTTGGAATGAACACCACCAGATGATTCATACGCGTCAACTGTCGCAATATTCACTAAGTGTTCCCGACATGAGCTTATTTCTCATACTTTCAGACGAAGTTGGTTGTGCTGATCCGGCCGTATGCAAGAGTGTGTGCGGGAAGGAGAGAGGTTGTACGGACATCGCCTATACTCGGCTGGTACTGAAACTGTTACCGTCCGGAGCTCGGGGTTTGATGCTTGCCGTAATGATTGCCTCTTTGGTATCGAGTCTGACGAGTATATTCAATTCCAGTTCAACTCTTTTCACCATGGATATTTGGCGTCGATTCAGACCGAGAGCACGTTCAGCCGAGTTGATGATAGTTGGCAGGTAAGCACACTACATAAAAGCGTTTGGCGGATTGGCTCACTCACCATACATCGGCACTAGGACATTCCACTGTATAAGTAGATGTTCCAAAGGTTTTATTTCATGCGTCTTTTTGCCTGTTGCACATTCTACAAGCGTATGTTCCAAAATCTAAGGGTGTGTTTTGCCTAACTTCTCGCCCTCTCATGCCCTGATAAAAATACATTCAATCAACCTGAGACCCTCAGTTATCAATTTTTGCTTATCCTGTGGCAGGGTCTGTCAGATCAGAGACAAAGGGAACGGTAGGCGCATATTGTGCGCGTAGTCTGAGCCGAGCCTAATTAACTGGATTCCTTTACTCCCTTTTTTTCCCTCCCGTCCGAAGGATCCTTTTTATTCCTTTCTAATGGACCTGATATCATACAAGACTAGGTGACTCGGGTTTGGTGAATGGTGAACCCCAGGTTTTAGAATGGAGAAGGGTGTTGCTTGTCTAGACCAGTATACCATGGTTCTGTATCCTGAAGTTATTTCCGCAACATGTTTGAAATTGTATTTCGTAGCATTGTATTGTCAAGCTCAGGTCCGTATGGAATTAAGTGATATATAGTGTTGCTCCCCGACGTGGGGGAAAACATTAAAAAACGCGTATTTTTTCATTCGACCAAAGGATATTTCACGTCACTTTTCAGCTACTCAAGGCATACGGTCAAGTTTCTTCAGCTAATGTACCTTCATTGATCTGAGTCTTGCTTCTCTAGTATGGGTGCGGTACACGTGAATAAATAAAGTATGTTTCCCCATTGGTGCGATCAATTTGTGAATAAACTGAAATAGTTCGAAAACGATACCGTTGTTCAAATAAATAAATGCCCTTCAAAAAAATAGGTCAAAACAATGGACGGTTGAAAGCTTTTCAGTTGATTCACGTAATCCAACCAATGCAATCCTCAAAACTCTACCAAATTAACCAATTTCTTGATAATTGGGCAGTGTTCTCCGACAAAACTGTCACATCATGATACTTAATGTTTGCCGCATAAACCAATTAATCGTCTCAATAGACTGAGCAATAATTATTATAGTAAACAGATTGTTTTAATGATTGCTTGCTTTTACTTTAAACGTGATGCAGAGCTCATTTGTCATGACAGTTGCGAGGAGATAAATGAACCTTACTGTGATGCACCCGAATGTGAGAACATGAAAATTGTGGTGCATAAAATTGATCGACTCTGTTTATAAGAATAGTCGGTCTGTTGGATAAAAAATAATTTTAGAAGGTTCCAGTGGGGTAGGTAGCAACAACACAATTGCAGGTCCCTGACGTCCATCCTACCCCTTAATTGATTCTAGAATGTTTCGAATTGCTGAATTCAAGGGAACCTGATCTGATCACCAACCCTCATGAAGGGATTAAATTTCATGTGCTAGGAACCATCGATCATCAGTGAATGTCCGAATGTCGTTGAGGACAATCAGGCAACCGTTCAGACTATACAAATTGAATTTTACTATAAAACATTATGCCTTTAGGCATGACCCGTCGCAACTGAGAGATGAGTTAATTTACGGTACATAGAACACGATCTACATATGATTTCTTTGAGGTTTCTTAATTGAATATTGGATTATTCATTGAAAATCGAATTCTCTCGTGAGATTATCCTTTTCGTTAGCGTTTTTATTATTTTCATCAAGTTTCTATAGGACAGCATCTTGGGCATGTTTTAGCACAGTTTCTTTTCCGCATTGAGCATTCAGTAAATCTTTATTATGTTCATTAGGAACAATTCTTCGTTTGTTTTCCTCGTGCGTTAGATCGGATCCGCAGATGTAATTTTGAAGGAGAGTGACAGCCTTTCCCGTCAGTACAAAACACGCAATTTGAACCGTCAGCTCAGTTGTGGTACGATTGGGAAAACTGAAATGAGAACTGGAATCGCTCGGTGCTCAAAATGTACGCTGTCAAACGATGCCAATTTATTAGAGCTCACCGAGACGAACGAAATCTCCATGCTTTGGAATTTATTGAGCTGGCTGTCAGTGGAATGCATTCATTCCCTTTGTTGTCGACCCACATCCAGCAATGTCCTTTTGTATAGACAGGAATTTGCTACCGTGGGATGTCAATTTGTGTTACATCGTTGCACTAGTAATAGTAATTAATACTGGGTCAGTTGAGTGGTAATTCAAATCATTCGCCACTGATCCAGTTGTTTTGTTAGTTCGAATAAACATGTACTGGTTTCAGAAGAAAAAGTATCCCTGTCCCGGCAATAACTTACAATCTGAGGAAATGTTTTGCTCTATAAGTCCATCCACTGAATGGAGTTATTCTCACGGAATGTGTCACGGCCAAACACAAACAAAAATGTCATCTTCACTGTTCTCCCAATGCATGATCAGTACCAAATTAACTGTTACCAGTTTTAATTTCTTTCATTGGAGTGGTGGAAGGGACTCACTGAACAAGCGGGACCGGTCATTGTCATCGTCTATTAGTTGTTTTTCAGTTGCTAAGACATATAGCCTAGAATCGACATTTTGGGTGGTTGTGGCAAATACGAAGGTTAAAGGTGTGCTTTTACTCCACCCTATCTAACGAAAAGCTGCTGCAATGTATTCTGGCCTTTTGAGGTAATTACCAAAAGATTTTGTTGTCAGGCTGCTAGCAGGGCGGATAGCTTGATCAACATGATTCGATTTGCGGTTAACAATGATTTTCGGGTTCGTTCCAGTTAGTTTGTCGACGTCGATAGTCGGAACGATGACATAACTACTTTGCTTAGGTGCAAGGGTGGTCAACTGAAAAATCTGTTTGAATGAGGAGAAACTAGAAAAATAAACCACCGCCCAAATCCGTTACTTAGGTATAGATGCTTACCACGCATTTCAAAGGACACAGATAGATGTGCAACAAAAGTGATGACGTAAATGAATGAGCATTTTACTGTCATTTATTTGACGTCCGACAAACGTACGGTTGGTATTCAGTCAGTGGACTATGGTCAGTAAAGGACCGCTAAACAAAAGCTGGGTATGTTGAGTGGTACCAGCAGTGGGATTTGAATACGCGAACTGAGAGGCCATGGGCAGAGAGCTTATATAACGCGAGCACCACCATTCCAGTTTCGCACAATCCTATTCCACTATTATTATTTACTTCTGTTTTTCTCAAGATATCATATTATTAACTGTCGAAGCTACACAAGTCCGAATTCCGAAATATGATGAAGTGATTGGATGAGCTCTTCCCGTAATAGTCCTCGATCACAGATCGTGAATTAAATTGAAATCAGGGGAAAATACCAATGGGAGAATAGATGAAATTGAACCTCGTATAAGTCAATTGCCAGACTCTTCAAACAAACGGAAAAATTAAAAACAAACTGATTCTATTCAAGTGATGAGATAGTTTGATATCTAACCAAATGCAAGTTGCTTGCTACTAGCTTTAACCTTCGTATTTGCCACAACCGCCCAAAATGTCAATTCTAGGCTATATGTCTTAGCAACTGAAAAACAACTAATAGACGATGACAATGACCGGTCCCGCTTGTTCAGTGAGTCCCTTCCACCACTCCAATGAAAGAAATTAAAACTGGTAACAGTTAATTTGGTACTGATCATGCATTGGGAGAACAGTGAAGATGACATTTTTGTTTGTGTTTGGCCGTGACACATTCCGTGAGAATGTTTATTAGTTTATGATCAAAAAATTGTCCTTCGTTGCCTGTTTAAAAATTTGTGATGGTGTCTTCCTCTTAATTCCGAATTCAATGACTCTTTTATTGAAGTGTGTACAGTCTTACTCTACGCCTGAGAAACTTAGCCTCTCCGAGGTGATCCTGACCAACGACAACCACTGTGTGTAGGCAGCATCGCACGTGTATGGTGGCAGCATAATGTGGGTGCTAATTAGGTCAGACGATGAGTGTCAGTGGGTAATCAGTCTTTTCTTAAAAAAAACCATATGAAATGGCTAGGACACTGATAAATACGTTGATAACGTTTACCGTACCACGCTTTGTTTGCAAACATAAAATTGGGTTGGAAGAAATAAAGAAGTGAGCAACGTATGACGTGGTGCACAGGGTTGAACAAATTGCGTTCCGATCCAGTTCAATTGGGACATACCAACTTCCAGACTGGGGCCCCAAAGATGCAGATAGTCACTGTTGTTGGAGACTAAGAGATGCAGCATCGAACAAAAGTTAGCGGTGTGCATACACTTGCCTATGTTTGCCCTTAACTATGTGACGTCCGAAAGGGAACAGAAGAATAAAAACCCTGTAGTGAACAAACAAAAAAATGCACCGTTCATTGTTTGTTCCGACAGATAGTGGTAGTTTCTCTAATCCACCTCTCCCCCTCTCAGTACCTAAATTTTAAGAACTCTAAAAGCAAATCCAGCTGTTCAGTGGGCTCATTACAACCAATAGAATAAGTGTCTATCACAGATGATCGAAGAGGATGACTCTATATTACTTATTACAGCAACGATAAGACAACTAAAAGTTCGCCTTTTCTTTCTGCAGTTATGCAGTGTCTTTCAAACTACTGCACGTTAAACTCGACTAAAGTTCATCTTAGATCTCGAACATACGCGGCTCGCATGTGAATAACCTTGGTTAATAGTAACAGGAAATTTGCATATTGTCATCACCCCAAGAGCTTTCGTATGCAGTTGAGAGGTTTGTTTTATTTGCATATAAAATATAGAAATGTTTATTGGCTGTCAAATCACCGTCTATTTCGAATGCACAATTTGAATTCATTACTCTACTGTTACTTCATAACTGCTCACCACGGAAGTACAGGTAAATAATATGCAGTTCTTTAAAATCGATAAACGGAAGTGAAATGTTGAACAATCAAGCAAAAACTTAATAGCATTACTTATACACATTTCTGTTGAACTAACTCATCGGTACTTTTCCTTTTCCAATAACAAAATGTATTTTTTTTTAAATTATTTTCCTCCATTTACGTTGGGACAAAATGCATCTGGCACATTGATCGGTGTGTTTCACACGTGAATTTTTCCCCCACTTTCATTCATCCAACCAATTTCTTCATTCAGACTGTCCACATTTGCATTGATTGGCATTTCAATCGCATGGATCCCGATCGTCCAGTCAAGCAGTGAATTATTCCACTATATTCAATCGGTTACCAGTTACTTGGCTCCACCTGTCTGTTCCGTGTTTCTGCTCGCCGTATTCTGGCCCCGGTTCAACGAACAAGTAAGTAAAGTAACTTGAATTTGAACGACCGAATGACTATCCCCGTTCAATATGTCATTTTCTTTTTTGATCTGTACAGGCTAGAAGATGAATCAGTGAAAAGAATTCTCCACCTCTAAATGTGTGTTCTCATAGTAAAATGGGCATATTCTGGAATTCGAAAGTACGAAGGTATATTAAATATGTCTTCTATCACCCTCTCCCCTCTACAGAAATAAATAGACCAAATTTATTTGGTTTTCTAAGAGCTGGAACCTTCCTAAACTACCGATACTGTTTTTCCAGTCAGATAACTCAAATGTCCGTACACGAGGTGGATTGTGGACCCATCAGTGAGGTCACTATTGTACGGTCTGGTTTTATACTTCTTATACTTTGACTGTGGCAACTGGAAACCTGGATTTATGTTTGTGTGCTTTTAGTATGTGTGACTGGTCAGACCTTTTCATAGGCCCAAGGAAATCAGTGTGGTGTGAATATCGATTAGAACTACTCGACAACGAATATTCCCAAAGATATGGACATAATCTGCGCACGACTGTTCGACTGAAATGTGAACATTCTATTCTCGCAAAAGTCTATACAAAAACAAATACAATACTGGAAATATGTCAAACGTCAAGTTGCTTCAATGAACATGAACTGATCGAAAACAAACCGACTATTTCAACCCGTTTAAACAATCTCTCAGCAGTCGTATACAGCATTAATATACTAATATGATACAATCCTGTGGAAACTACCTCCGTGTTTGATGGTGCCCTAACCGGGAGGCTCAACCATTGGGTCGTGTTGGGCTTCCTGGATGGGGGCCTCGAGATCATTGAAATCAATGGTTAAAGACACTGAGTGATATAGCTGTGTCGTAAACAGTAGCACTAGAGCATCTTCTCAGTTTGGTTGCAACCTTAGTCTACCGGAATTCGCCATTTTTTCTTCGATATTGCTTTCGACCTTCCAATCTTCCCTCTATACCTTTCATCCAAATGAGCAGCCAAAGGATAGCCATCGAAAACAACTGAACAAAAGTGCGTGGTTAATGACTGTACAAATCCAAACTTGGCTTTGATAGTAGCATCTTTGAGGAACGCATCATATTCGTATCACCTATTACTGATTGTGATTGGTCATCCCTCATGATTCGACTTCGCTCATGGTCCTCAGTTGATCTCATCCACCACAAACTCAAGAGCACGAGACTCCGTGGATAGATATCCACCGGCCATTCCAGAATTTAAATTCCAGACCACTCGCATGGAAGAGGAGGGTTTTATCACTATTTTGATCAACTCACCTCGTATCTGATTTGAATATTCACCTTAGATTTTTTCTGACGTCTTCCTCTGAGAAATTTGATCAGATTTCTCACTATCCTCCGCGTGTTTCTATGTAGTCCAAGCCGGAAGAATTGAAACTNNNTAAAAATGACTGCTATCCTGCTTCATTGTTCCATTAGAACCATGCATTGTCACGAACAGCCACCTTTTGTGATCATTTTTCGTGGTTGCAAAATCCAAATACGGCGGAGAGAATTTCTTTATAGCTAGAGTGAAATTATTTGTGGATGATACAAATTAAATTCGAACAGTATTAGTTAATTCATCGACAATCATCACGCCTTCAGTAACTGGAAACCCAGATTCATGTGTGGGACTGACCAAACCTTTTCACGGGTACTAGTGGTTTGATGAAATGTGTTGTTTGAATTCCGGTCCCGATTTATGTTGGTTCGTTAGATTTGTATTTGAAAAGGGTTTGTTAAGATACTTTTGCATACGGAGATACACTGACAATCTTTCAGCCAAGTATCCATTCATGACGGAAAATGAAAGCGTGTGACTGAGAATTCCGAAACTGTCTTGTCTTCTTCGTTCCAGGGTGCTTTCTATTCCCTCATTGTCGGTCTCGTGGTTGGTATTGCCCGATTCGTCTGGGAGACTGTGTATTCTCGTTCGGTTTGTGGTGAACTGCGTGAGGAAACTCTGGCCCTGAAAATGATCACCAAACTGCACTATCTACACTTTGGTGTTGTCCTTCTATTCATCTCCACTACGGTCGGTGTGGTTGTCAGTTTGTTTACCAAACCGCTTCCGGAAAAATACGTAAGTCCAGTTACCCAGCATGATGTTCGTTTGTCATTTGTACGCTGTGCAATTTTATTTTACTTCCTGAATGTGTCTAGTTAGTCATCCACAGACCGTTTATCCGTATTTTGGTTGATACAACTGTGCATGCTGGTTATTGTTTCCGTTCTACAAGTCAAGTCAAGGAATCGCTTTATGCACCCGAAGGGGTGAATATCCGGCAACCACATAACCGCAAACAATGGAAACTATAACACAGTATTTCAAAAACAAACAGACAACAACCACAATAGAAAACCAATGGCATATGATGGTATTAACAACTTGCACAGATTTAGGGAGACGATTTCATAGTTTGTGGGAAACCTGGTAAGATACGAAACGATAGAAAGCCGGTAACCCTCAAGGAATGCCCTTATGTTCATAACCGGAGCGAGGGAATGAATAGGAATAGGACGGGAACAATCAGATAAAATCTTCTGAGAGAATGTGTTACCACATGGTGTACCAGACGACCCCGGGGTGTATGACTATATACCGACAGAAATTTGTAATATCGGCCACTGTTTGTGGTGCTTGATAAAAAGACCGGGGAATATAACATGGGACCCATAAAGCCATTGGGATGAAACACAAGCGAAAACAAAACATTTTATGTTATGAATGGAGATAGAAAGTGATCCAAGACGCAAAACATAAAGCGTAGGCCTCCTGACCTTTTGGAATGCATTAACGACGTGGTCAGAGCAAGTGAAGTTATGTTAAAAAATAATAAGGTATCTGACTGATGGTTTTCGATACACTTAGCCATTCAACATGAACAAAGTGGGACTGGCACTTGAAATTTCATCACACTTGGGACATATCAAAACGGAGCAGGTTGTATCATTATATTTTGAGATATTCATTCGGAGGTTTTGAGACCACTCGATAGCTTCGTCATCTTATCTGGCAGATTAATCCGAGATGATGGATTGGGTAGGATTATCCAAATATATTATTGCTTGCATCTTCAATAAGAAGCGAAGAATAAACAAGCGGGAAATAGAAAAAAGGGATAAAGTGGCACCTTGTGCTACTTCTTTTGAGGAGCGGAGCCACGAGGATATATGGCCTTTATGGCGTGTGAGCTGTTGACGGTTGGAAAAATAATTGGCCTTGCTATTTTATCAGTTGAGCATAAAACAAAATGGGAGAGAGACGCAAGGACATCTCGTCACTGGGTGGGGGTCTCAAACATTAAATTATGTGGATAAGGCTTTAAGCAGTAGCTTTTTGAACATAGTTAAGGTGCGGGCAATGGGACGAAAGTTTGAGGAGACCCTCTTCAGTTCTGAGGTGATTGAGGCTAACCTCCGGCAGTTAGGGGTACTTTGCTGCGAAATAGAACGGTTGAAAATTTCACACAGTACATGGAGAAAGAGATGCAGCATATTCCATCAAGCTAACAGGTAAAACTCAATCAGGACAAATTGACTTGCTAGGATTTCGCCGGATCATCTGTTGACAGTTTTTTTTTCGGCGCAACTCTGGTTACAGTGTTGGTCAAGGTCAGGTGGTAGAACCGGGAATGTGGCCCCGGTGTCGATGATGCTCTGATTCAGACCCTCTTTACCCACAGCAGTTACGCGGTCTGGGGATTCGATGCCAGGAGTTTGCATGAGGGTTCTCCAGCTTTCACGACTTTCTTCGTCATCAAGCCGAGGACGAGTATACATGGAGTTGAGCCTACGAAGTTAATGCCTGAACGATTATTAAAGTGAACTTATGCTTTCTGAACGGGGGCTCCTTTTAACAGTGAAGTTGTTTAAGGTGTGAGGAGCAGAATGGATCGAGTGAATATAAATCATTTTTAAGGCACGCCAAATAACATGGCTTAGGTTTAGATAACCTGTTAAGTAGTCACAGAAAATAGAAGGGTTACAATCTATAAACATAGTAAGGTCGGAGTGAACGCTCATTACTCCTTGCCTTCAGGGGTTCACTGGAGAACGCTGTCAGTTCTGAAGCATGTGATTACGACTTCCAGTAAAGAGACCGTGGTTGATTCTACTGAAAATTGTATGGTGGACATTTTATCTTTGAGTGTTCAGAAGTCCCTGACGGGGCATTCTACACAAAGTACACAAAGGTATGCGTCAGATCTGGTGGGAAAGGTAGCAATGTTNCAATGTTTCAAATACCGAAAGTGGTCGGGAAACAGATATCAAAATTGTTAAAAGCGTCACAAATAATGCAAACAGAAGCACCTACACATTTCGCCAACATAGTAGAAAGTTTAGAGTATCAAGCTTGGATTAGCCCATTCGATTGTTCAGAGGCACCAGGCACTCTTGATGGTCTTCGGTGTGGGTTTCACTCCTTGGGAGTTCATTAATTCCCCACTGTTTGTATGCATTTAAGTGCGATTGAAAGCTTTGTGATAACCAACAAAGAGCACTAGACAGCTGTCTCGTCCTGTTTGGGACTCGTAAGCAGTGCGTACTTTTTTTGTGTCCCTGCCTGAACAATCGAATGGACTAATCCAAGCTTGATACTCTAAAATGATTGAGCCATTCACACAAAGCGATAACCGTCGACCGTGTAGCTCAGGGGTAAGGGTTTGAAGTCCCGACCCGACTGATCGCGGTTCGAGTCCTGACAGGGACACAAGAAGTACGCACTGCTGACGGGTCCCAAACAGGACGAAACGGCTGTCCAGTGCTCGTTGTTGGTTATCACAAACCTTTCCATCGCACTTAAATATAATAGAACGTATTATAAAAGTCATTTAGAACGTTAGATGAGCAAGAGTGAGCAATAAATACATTCATAAGAAAGAGTGACCGAGAAAAATGTCAAGGTTTAGATCACAGTACAGATGCATTTATGCCGATTGTCAAATAAGAAAACACATTTTTGGATGACACTGATTTTCGATACGTGCGGTGACACCACCACCATCTAGTCCGGAATATGGAACTGGACAAACGACACAACAAAACCATCCAGGTATACTATTTCATAATGAATTTCTTGGTGAAGCCATCTTTCTTGACGCATGTTCACACCTCGTGATGGGCTTTTCTTTTGGAAGCTCGGCTTTCCTCTGCAACAACTACTACCATTTCAGACAAAAAGAACCTAGCAGTGAAGTTCCCCTCTGGGACTCGTAAACAGAGTTCATTTATTTTGTCAAAGTCAAAGTTTTGTAATGGGAATTACTTATCAAGGGTTTCTTGTCTTGTTCCTTAGGTTTTCTCTCACAAAACTGAATCGATGTACGGTTTTTCCAATATATAAAACCATGTTCCTACACCGCTTCATCTAGGCCCTGTACAGTCGGCAACAGACATTTTCAAGTTATAGCAGAATTAATTTTTTTTCTCTATAGGTCAGTTTGCTTCAGGGAAGCCAACCCTAGAAAAAAACTAATAAAATTAGTTTAAAGGTGCTAAGTATATTTCTCATTTGTCACGTACTGCAAAAACTATGAAGAACACATGGAATACGAATGGTCATACGCATTACTGGCGAAATTACAATCCGGTTAGGTAGTACCTAATGCCCTCCATTCGTCCTTCGGGATATCAGTCGGACCGACATTCCTATAAAATTTTCGAGGCAATGTGCCTTGTCACGTTTCGGTTCTTATGAAGTCCATACAGACAGAGATATAGATTTATCAATCTATGAACTTCAGGCGAATAAGATAGGAGGGAATTTCGTGCAAAGATTTCACACCGGAGGTTGTCAACACATCTTTCAAGCAAATCATTTCTAAAGATGAAGCAGGACATGTGATTGTTAGCCGCTTCACTACGGCAGGAAATTTTGAGGTCTTCTTCTGAAACCTCGTCAAAGCTAACTGGGGAAGGCAGTGACGTGTTGTTAAGACATATTTAACTTTTCGGATTAGAAAACACCCACTGATCTCTAATTATGGATTCATCGTGTATTTAACAGAGATTGCTATCACCAGGAAACCATAAACTGCACGTAGAATGAAAGCCCCGGAGTGTTGTTTCCTTTTCACCGTCTGCCTGTCTCATTCATACAGCATGTTTATTGCGTGCTAACAATTCATGTGTCTTGCGTACGTATGAAACAAAGTTCATGTAGTTGAAACATGGCGTCACACAATTAATAAATTGGCAGGTTAATCGCAAATAGGAAAATAACGGCTTTCTTCATTTGGCGTAAAAGAGACCCTATGTGTGAAATTGAGTCACTCCATCGTATCTAACTAAACGGGATGCACAGGGGTTATCCCGAAGGTTTCCACTCCCAAAGCTCCTGTAATGTAGTTGTTTTTGAAAAAGAACCATTTTAATTTGCTTCCATTATTAATATTATTTATGCAGAATGAAGAAAGGTACATAGGAATTACAATAAAGTTATATGGAATCTTTGTTTTAATCTGTGACCTTGAAACCATATTGGTTGGTCAGTACACGAGGCACATCTTACGCAAAATGATGTGAAGAATATATGAGAGGCCGAGGTTTATTACGAATGTGAGCGTCATTGGGCATACTATGAACCTGCAAGAATTCAGTGTGTAGCAAGATAGATATCTTTTTCAACGCATGAAGTGTTGGAATCGAAAAAGAATTCGTGCTGGCACATATTTTGAGAAGTCCAAGCTGCTTCTATGTGCTCTGATGGAATTCTTTTATTTTGTGGTAGAAGAATCCGTCACACAGGCTTATTTACAGAGAAAATGTATAAGAAAAAACTGCTTCTTTGTGATATGCATATTTTCGTGGCGTCTGTTCATCGCTACTATGTTCCAAAATAACCCAACAGAGTGGCACCGGGATTGTTGTGGAAGTAGTTTACAGTGTCACCGAGCGCAGTAAATACGGACAGGAGAGGAAGCCTCCTACAGTGTGGATATTCGGGATATTTGATTGTAGATCGAAGAACAATGATTTCCGACGTGTAGAAAACATATCTGTAAAAACCCTTCTTCCAATTATTAAGCTGTGGGTTATCCCGGAACTATCATCCACATTGATCAACGGGCGACCTATCTTTAATTGATGTCTCAAAAATATACGTATATGTCACTAATTCCGATCGGTTCGTAAATACTAATACCGGAGTGTACACAAATAAAGTGGAACCATTCTGGAAAAGAATCAAACAACGGCTGAAGTACGTTTGCGGATCGGTTGGTGAAATTAATCATGAACTTTTAAACGAGGCCCAATGTCATATGTCGTACAATTATTCTATTCTGATATTCCCCGATGACACTGAAACATCTTTGGATCACATCAAGAGACTATATAGATTTTAAGTTATGTCTATATATTTTGGTACTATTAATTTAATGGTAAATGATTTTATTCTAACTTCGGTGAATGCTCTGCATATTTTACATAAATGTAACTACTTATGAGTAATATGTTTTACTTGCGAAACTACTTCGGAGTGGATCATCTGTATGACCTCCGTCCAGGATGGGTAGTTAGGTTATACCTGAAGCTGAAAATTGAACAATAATTTTGTGCTGAGACGCATTCCGTTTTCCAATATGATGTTTGGAATAATGTCCAAAATATAGCTCAACCAGAAAGTCTGCAGTTGGTCCTTGAAGCTACCATTGTAACGCAACCAATTAATCTTTGAAACACTCTTAATCCATCTCATTAAAATCGAAAGAATGCGCTAGGTGGTAACAATTCGTTTACTCTTCTAACTGGTTGAAGTAAAATAGCATAGCATATATAATATAGCAAATTGGATTAATGAATCATGGTGAACGAACCTGTACAAGCAAACAAAGATAAACACATCTAGAAATGAAGGTCAACTCCACGATGAGTGGATTGATGGTGACAAGAGCTTTGTACGCACAAAATCGGGTGATGTAGCCGAATAAGTAACGCTTCACTAATTACTAAAATTTTAGCACCGCTATTCCGTAAAAACAGTTCTAAATGCGAAATAGGGTCAACTGTGCCCTATTGTCATGAGGTGCTTTCCACCGAATGACCTCGGATTTGTTGTGACCGCCTGGCTATCGTTTGTCTATTGCGTCATCGATTTGCCAACCACCTTGGAAATTTTTCGACCACCCGTTAAGATAGCTGACGGTCGATACCTGGTGATATTTGCCTTGTTTAGATAATGCTTTTACATGCAATTTGCCTTCTTTTTCAACGCTTATGCTTTCCAACAGACCATGGGCATGACCTATTGGACGCGTAATTTCAAGCCCGATGTAACAAGACACACGGGTGAAGAAATAGACGGACAAGAATTTACCGTTGAGCAAACGGAGGACCCTACGTGTATACACGCGTTTGAGGCTGTATATCCAGGTAGGTTGACTATTACGCGTATTTTAGTCCACGGATCTCTGAGAAAATTCACACCGAAAAAGTTTAACGCAACTCATTTTCATGTACAGAGATGTAAACAGGTTACTGAGAGACAAACAAGCACCCCGTCCCCAAGACGTTACTTTTAACCGGTTTTCTTTGATTAAATCTACCGGAATTNACGTAACATAGTCAACTTTCGAAGCGCTGTCAATTCGTTTTATTTGTGCTGCTTATTAGCAGCTGAGCATTGGTACTAAGCTGCAGGAAATGGGCACAAAAGTTAGTTGATTGTAATGAAACAGTTCGATAAACTCGACTTTCCGACACGGAAATTAATGAACACGCTTTGCTAGTGACTCAATCAACCGATGACAATGGTCGATTAATAGTGTGATAAACCTCGTGTGGTTTCCAACACGAGTAAACATTCTCTAAAATACGCTTACCTGATTTAGAGATGAAACAACTTTGAGCAGAATAAAGGGGATT